ATAAATTTAGGTAAATGATAAATATTGTTTCAATGTAAAATGACCGCGTGCAACTCAGATGGGAATTTTAGCAATTTTGACCCAAGAATATAATAATAATTTACACTAATAATTTCTATAGCTTTTTATGAATTTTACTTTTTCATGGAAATGACATGTGCAAGTCACAAAATTTTAGTAATTTTTGGACAAATTTTTTTTTAAATGATAAAAGTATGGTCAGTATCGCTTTCGTTTTAAATTTTTTTGAACGCGTGATTGATAATCACTCCGCAAGCTTGTAACCTTTTCAAACTTGATTATTAAATTACTAAATATTTTTTACATGACTCTTAAATTTTTGAAAAATTACTGGTTGTTCCAAGACCATCGTGAGGTGGTGCTCTTATTATTGTCGGTGGTGGTTTGTGTCCACCTGGCAGGTGGGCAATAATGGTTAGTGACAAGAATGGGGCCAAAGATATTAAATACTTGAATAGTAATTATAAAAAGATTATCGAAACCTTCATAACCACCGATCCCATTTGGACTCGAACCTCCATAGCCTTCATAACCATCAATCCCATTTGAACTCGATCATTCATAGCCTCCATAATTTCCAATTCCATTTGAACTCAAACCTTCATAATTTCCAATTCCATTTGAACTCGAACCTCCATAGCGTCCGATCCCATTTGAAATTTTGAGTTGTATAAATTTAGGTAAATGATAAATATTGTTTCAATGTAAAATGATGACCACGTGCAACTCACGTGAGAATTTTAGCAATTTTGACACAAGAAAATAATAAATAATTTACACTAGTGATTTTTATAGCTTCTTATGAATTTTACTTTGTCATGGAAATGACACGAGCGACTCACAAAATTTTAGTAATTTTCAGACAAATTTTTTTTAATTAAATTAATAAAAGTGTGGTCAGTATCGCTTTCGTTTAAAGATTTTTTTGAATGCGCGGTTGGCAACCACTCCGCAACCTTGTAACTTTTTAAAACTTGATTATTAAACTACTAAACATTTTTTACATGACTCTTAAATTTTTGAAAAATTATTAGTTGGCCCAAGAGCATTGTGGTGGTTTGTATCCACTTGGCATGTAGGCAATAATAGTTAGTGACGAGAATGGGGCCAAAGATATTTAATACTTGAATGATAATTGTAACAAGATTATCAAAACCTTTGTAACCACCAATCTCATTTGAACTCGATCCTTTGTAGCCTCCATAACTACCAATCCCATTTCAACTCGATCCTTTGTAGCCTCCATAACCTCCAATTTCATATGAAATTGTGAGTTATATAAATTTAGGTAAATGATAAACATTGTTTCAATATAAAATGACCACGGGCAACTCACATGGGAATTTTAGTAATTCTGACACAAGAAAATAATAATTTGCACTAGTGATTTCTTTAGCTTCTTATGAATTTATTTTGTCATGGAAATGGCACGTGCAACTCACAAAATTTTAGTAATTTTTGAACCAAAAAAATTAATTAAATTGATAAAAATGTGATTAGTATTGCGTTCATTAATTTAAAGACTTTTTTAAATGCGTCATTGATAACAACTTCACAAACTTGTAACCTTTTTAAACTTGATTATTAAACTACAAAATATTTTTTACATGACTCTTAAATTTTTGAAAAATTATTGGTTGATCCAAGACCATCGTGAGGTGGTGCTCTTATTATTATTATTGGTGGTTTGTGTCCACCTAACAAGCGGACAATAATGGTTAGTGATGGTAGGGATGGCAATTTGAACCCGGCCCGACGGGGACCCGACCCCCCGACCCCGATGAGAATGGTTTTTCCCCGAAAAATACTCCCGTGGGGACGGGGATGGTATTTAAAATTAAATCCCCGAAGCATTTCGGGCCGGGGACGGGGATATCATTCACAGCCCCGCACCCGGCCCGTCCCCGTCCCCGGCCCCGTCCCCGTATCTCCCCCGAAGTGATAATTCTGTCGTACCCCTTTTTATATACATGTTACATGTATAACCCAATCCCAAAAAACAAACCCAATAGGCTCACACGGCTGTCATCTCTCTCTCTCTCATCTCTCTCTCTCTCTCTAAAAGCCTCACACATCCGTAGCTGTCCTCCTTCCACCTCCGTCGTTGTCCTCATCTCCTTCACCGCCGGCGCCGATCTCCCTCTCTCGGCTGTCCTCCTCTCCCTCTCTCGGCTGTCTTCCTGCCTTCCATCACCATTGAACTCAAATCTGCAAACTCACATATCTCTTATTCGGCGACCTCTGATTCGACGATCTCTCAGATCTACAAACTCAGATGTTCAAACAGAACTCAGATCCGCCAGGTCCTCTCATTCGACGATCTCTCCTTCCTCCCATCTCGCCGATTTCGCCGAACTCGCCGACCTCGCTGAACTCACCGATCTCCCTCCTCGCCACCGACACCATCTCTCTGACTTTTCTCTTTTTTAATCTGTTGTGTATGATGATGTTGATGATTTTGTTGTTGATCTGTTGTTGATGAGTTGATCTGTTTGATGATTTTGTGATCTGTTTTTTTTTTTTTTGGACCGGGGAGTTTTCGGGGTCGGGGAAACCCGATCCCCGTTGGGGGCGGGGATGGGGATGGTGATAGGTTCCCCGTCGGGGATCGGGACCGGGGATGAAGAAATTATCACCGTCGGGGATCGAGGACGGGGAGGGTGATCCCCGGCCCCGCCCCGTCCCGTTGCCATTCCTAAGTGATGGGAATGAAGTCAAAGATATTTAATACTTGAATGGTAATTGTAAAAAGATTATCAAAACCTCCGTTAGCCATCTATCCCATTTGAACTCGATCCTCCACAGCCTCCATAACCACCAATTCCATTTGACCTTGAACCTCCATAACCTCCATTTCCATTTGAACATAAACGTCCATGGCCTCCGATCCCATTTGAAATTGTGAGTTGTATAAATTTAGGTAAATGATAAATATTGTTGCAATGTAAAATGACCATGTGCAACTCGTGTGAGAATTTTAGCACAAGAAAATAATAATAATTTATACTAGTGATTTGTATAGCTTCTTATAAATTTTACTTTGATATGAAAATGACATGTGCATCTCACAAAATTTTAGTAACTTGTAGACAAAAAAGAAAATAAATAAATTAAATTGATAAAAATATTGTCAGTATCGCCTTCATTTAAAGATTTTTTTAAATGCGCGGTTGGCAATTACTCCATAAACTCATAATCGTTTTAAACTTGATTAGACTTCCAAACTCTTTTTACCTGACTCATAAATTTTAAAAAATTATTTGTTGATCCAAGTGTATTGTTAAGTGGTGTTCTAAATTATTATTATTGGTAGTTTGTGCCGACCAGAATTACTTAGTGATGAGAATAGGACCAAAATATTTTATACTGGAACGGTAGTATTGCATGCACCAATTAGTGTACATATTAGTATACAAACTAGTGTTATTATTACTGATCTCACTTATTATACAAATTATAAACATTCAAAACTTTTAAAATTATGTCATGTCATCTGTTAGTATATTAATTAGTACATTAATTGATACATATAGCATTATTTTAATAATTTTTCCAAATTCTCTAACGTGACGTGCCACTGATTCAAAATGACAAAATGAAGAAGTTTAAAGAGGCGTTAATTAAAGTGAAAAAATACATGTGATGTTTAAAAGGTTAGAGTGGAGAATGTTTTAACGCTAGGGTCGGTTTTTTAATGAACAATATTTACTAACTGAACCACATTAATAAAAAATTAATAATTAAATAACTAATATTGAAAAAATCTAAAGTTTATTGGCCAAAATAAATATTGAATAATATTTCAAGTATGCAAAAGTATAATTTATCTTCTTTTGGTTTACCATGTTTCTTAACTATATTATGTATAAGAAAAATATCAAATAATTCTTACTTTTTTAATAAAATTCTCATTAAATCCGATTCACACATGAATCAACTATCTCAACATATTGTTAATAGGACTTTATAAAGTAATTGATATAGATATATATATAAAATTTCCCAACCACAAGTTATATGATATTTGAGTTATAGTAAAATAGTACTACCAGTTCATCAATAAATAAACCCCTACTTTTTAGTCAAAGTTAATTAATTTCAAAACATTTTCATTTATTGTTTTCTTATTCAGCACTGGTAGGAAGCCCGAAAATTTGTGACTCGAATGGCTCGAAATTGTCAAAACGACGTCATTTTGCTGCCAAAACGACGCAAAACGTCGTTTTGACAGTTTCGAGCCATTTGAGCCACACATTTTGTGGCCCTAAAACATTATTCTTTCTTATTAGTCAACGTCATAAATGGTAAATCAATAATTAATTGCAAAATTTAACATTTTCATTTATTGTTTTCATAAGAAAATTTATTTGCATTATGACAAGACAAAATTTACCATTATTTTACGAATAAACCCCTACAATTTTCCTTCGAATTTTTTCTCCTACTAACCTCAACGTATGAAATCAAAAAAAAAATGGGATTCTAAGAAATTAATATTCTGTTTGTTTGGGTTAAAAAAAATATTTTTTGAAGAAAATATTTTTCTATGTTTGGTGGTTGTGGTGGGACAAAGGTGGAGGTGGTGATAGTGGTAATGTGGCGACATTGATAAAAATTTTGTTCGGAAAATGTTTTTAACCTTTTAAAAGTAAAAAATATTTTTTACCCAAATAGACTTATTTTTCATTGATTATGAAAAATATTTTTCATTGAATTTTATTTTTCATTCTACCAAATGCCCAAAAAAAAAAGTTTTCCAAAAAAAGTTTTCTGCTCAACCAAACAGAGAAAAAGAAAAAGGAGAAGTGATATCTCAAAGCAAAATCTCTCCAACTACTTGGGATCAACAAAGAGGCCATCACTAAGAGGCCTTCAAAAAAAACTAAGGCCACCGCTAGATATTTTTACATAGGGGGTGTGCCACTACATTCCCATGGACATAGTTAAGTACCACCTCAGCAAGCCAAAAACAATCAAACTGCTCATGCAATCCTCAATAAATATTAATTTCCAAATCCTGATATGATTATTTTACATGGGTTTAAACTGACAATCAAACAGGCTTAGTTTAACTAGAAAACATAAATAAATAATGTTTGATTACATAGAAACAGAAGAACATTTAACCAACATGAGTTTCGTGTTCTCGAAGCTTGTGTTGACTCTAAACAGGGCGAAGATCTATGGATCAGGCAGAGCTTGTATCTCTACCGAATGAACAAGACACATGCAGCTCAAGCTCCCACAGGCAGTGTAGTTAACGGACACATCGCCAGTACTATGATATCGAAGGAGTAGGGATTTCAGTGTCAATCAAACAGAGAGCCATGTACCTCACTTTCCAAGATACCCAAAAGTCAGAAGGCTCCAGAAAGCTGGGAAGAATGCTTGTTCCTAACAGCAACATTAGCATGGTTCACAAGTTGCCCCAATATCAAAAGGTATATAAACTAGTAAACTACAATTCTACCTCTGAAAGAGAAGGGACAACAAGATGTTGATTTGTTGGATACACTTGTTCCTGACAACAACATCAATCAAGGTTAAGCAAAGATTAGAATTATGAAAAAGACTATACACAAATCATTATTAACTAGAAAATACACCTGTTTGGCATTAGAAGAAAAAAATATAAACATTATAAAGACAAAGTAATTAATACAGCAAAACGATACTTAAATTGAATAATTTTCTGGCTAAATAAACAAGCATGCTCCTGCACACAACCTAGTTACCATACTCGGAGATCTTACTCCACAAGCAGATTCTTTTTTGGAAAACTATCTATTCTGGTCTGGATGGAGAGGAAGCCTATATTTCTAGGTTTTAAGGACTCCTTACAAGTGTTGGAGAAAGTTGGGAATTTCTTGTGTTCAAGTTTCCATTTCATGATTAGGGTGTGGAATTCTAATATTAGTACTGGGCATCTTAGTTTACCTGTTGTAACAACTTTGCTCAGATTCCCTTGAGCACTTGGAGCTGTAATACCATCTCACGAGGAGTCCAGGATTTGAGGAAGAAGAAGACCAGGTTACAACCTATAGTTTCAACCACATTACAGTTATTGTAATTTTCTCGAAAGAGCCAAAATGACCTTATACATGTCCAACAAAAAACCTGAACAGACAACCAGGCCAAAGATTACCAAATGGACAATGTGCCAAAAGGACAATAAATGATTTTGAGCGGTCATATTGTGAGGTCTTTTATTCTGTCAACTATTTATCTTAAAAAGAACACACACACACACACACACGTCATACAGGCTGCCAAAACATGAAAAGATGCATGACATCAGCAGTATGACAAAAAGCATAGACCATTAAAACACAAAGAAAATGATCTCTAATTGTCCTAGCCAATAAATAAGAATGTTGTATAATCACAAGGGATTCAGTGTTAATCTGAAACCATACTTGGAGATATGGCAAATTCATGTTAAAAGGACATATAACACAGCAGCATGCAATCCTACAGCACAAACAGTATCTCATTCCAGTTATATATATTCAAGTGTCAAAGGTCTTTTTTGTAATTTTATATTTCACAATTTAATATCAAAACTATTGATTGAGACATAGATCACAGGCCAGACATGAAGTGGTAAATTTTAGATGTGATGAAGTATACCGGCCACTGATGCATACAGCGCAGTAGTTGCTCAAAATGGTCTCTGACAAAATGATAAAACATGAAGCACTTCTAAAATGACACCCAAGTGAGTAACATAAGCATCACCCATAAACCTTATGAACTCCCTAAGGAATTACCAACTTCATTTCCTTCACCAATCCATCCAATGTCCGATAAATGCTATCAATTTGAGGATGTGCTAGGGAGCCCACAAGAAATTCATGCACAATTCCTTTGATGCTGATAAAACTACACCCTGGCTGCTTTCTCACGCCCTTTTGCCACATATACCACCTCATTCCAGAGACATCTCCCCATCGACAATCAACCGCAAATGCATTTGACAACATCACATAGCCTGCAGAATTTTGAGGCTCCACCTTAACAAGATTTTTGGAAATATGTTGGGCCAACACTAATCTGTTGTGGAGCAGGCAACCCCCAAGCAAAGCCCCCCACACAAAATCATTGGGATCAAAAGGCATGGAGTTAACAACTTCAAGTGCTTCTTCAACATGGCCCATTCGAGCAAGGAGATCAATATAGCAAGCATAATGCTCTAATTTAGGCGGGACCGAAAAGCTTTTGCTCATATTGAGGAATATCTGACGTCCATCCTCTAACAACCCTGAATGACTGCATGCACAAAGAACACCGAGGAAGGTTCCCGCATTGGGATGCAAACCAAACTCCTGAACTATGGAGAAAAGCCTTAATGCATCCTCTCCTTTACCATTTATTGCAAGACCCATTATCATAGCATTGATTGAAACAACATCTTTCGTGACCATCTGGTCAAAAACCTCTTTCGCCTTTGCCAAACTTCCACATTTAGAATACATGTCTATCAATGCAGTGGCTACATTTTTGTTTAAAGCTAGAATACTTTTCTGCCCTTCAGATTTAAAGTATTCATGAACCCAAATTCCACTGTCTAAATCACCAATTTGAGCACAAGCTGAAAGCACACTAACCATTGTAACATGGTTCGGTCTACAACTATGATTCTCCATGATTAGGCCAAAAAGACTCAAAGCCTCCATAGGAGAACCATTTTGAACATACGCACTTATCATAGAATTCCAAGGAAGCACACTTCTTTTTCCACTGTCTGCAATCTCATCAAATCTTTCTCTACTTTTGTCAGTCTTTCCCCATTTCCCATACAAATAAACAAGAACAGTCCTCACCGAATCAAGACCCAAATTTAGACCCAAATTTTTAGAATCGACATCATTAATAAATTCAGATAAAATTCTAACCCAATTCTCAATATCTACAATCTCAAGATGTGAACAAACAGATAAGACATTGACCATAGTATCATCTTCTGGCGTCAACCTCTCCTCAACCATCAATAAAAAGAGTCTCAAAACTTCATCAGGCTGACCTGACTGAGCAAACCCAGTAATTAAAGAAGTCCAACAACAAACCATACTCCTCTCAGGCATTTCATCAAACACCTTACGTGCAGACACCAAATCCTTCACACCCTTAGCATAAACAGCAAGAAGACCATTGCAAACAAAAGAATCAGACACAAAACTCGATTTCAGAACATGGGCATGAATCTGTTTCACACACTCTACATCATTGGCACGAAAACAGGCCTTAAGAAGGAAAGAAAATGTAAACCCATTGGGCGAAATTAACATCGAATTCAACCCGTTGAAGACAAAGAAAGCGTCAGAGCAAAGACCCTCTTCAGCCAAGACTCTGATGATTGCATTGAAAGGGAAAATGTTGGGTTTTTCGAGTTGGTGAAACACTCGAAGAGCGAATTGAGATGGGTAGTGGCCAATGAGGCGAGTGGCAATTAGATTGTCTTGGTGTGCGTTAACTCGGAGAATTTGGGCATGGATTTGGAGGAGATGAGAGCGAGAAATGCGACCTTGCAAGAGATTGGAGAGGTTGATGAAGCTATGAGAGGTTGAATTGGAAGAGACGTAATGTAAATGCATATATTTCTGATGAAGAGGTAGAGATCGAAGAAAAAAAGAGCATTGTTGAAGAAAGATTTGAGAGTATGAACTCATAATCATCATTTTCGAAAGCTTCTCATGATTTGAATTTTATTTCTTTTATTTTTTTGGTGGGCTCTGTATACATTTCAATTATTATTATAATTTTACAATTTAAGTACATCAAGGTTTTTATATGATTCCAAAAATCATAATCTATTAAAATTAGACCATGTCAAGATTTACGGGCTACAAAATTCTGATATAATCTAAAAATTGAGATTATATTAAGACATGATGAAAACAAAAAAATTAACTACTTCCTACATAATCCAAGAGTTGAAAATACATTGAAACATTAGAATATAGAAATTTAGAAACAATATTGTTAGCATGTCGAAGAAGTGACAACTCCGAAGTTGATCTAGAATTTCAGCTCAATATTTGAGGGTAAGATCACATAAGAGGTGAATCTCCTGTGATCGAATTCGGTGAATGCATTTTTTTAAAGATAATATCAGTTACGTCCAAGAAAATGTTATACAAACCAAACCAAACTGTTTTGCCATCCGACTGAGGTTTTTTTTAGGATTGAAATACAGTTTATGAGAAACAAAAATATCTTTCTTTCTTTATTTTGCTTTCATTGTATTAACAATGACAGAATAGCAATTGCACACTTTCTAGGTCTAGAGAATGAACATTCAACCAGCAAAAGAAGACGATCGCCTACAATCTCACATCCCTTCACTAGGGCTTCTTCCATTGTAAAGCATACTATTACACTACTACAACAAAGGCATATACAGGAGGAAACAAGTAAAAGTAGACAGGCTATCAAGCAACTTGCTCTCCAATATCATTGCCATCAATTTTCTACATTGCTTGGCAGAGAGAGAAGTTCCATAAGCTCCAGGCGATACTCGAGGCCTCTGAGGTAGTGTCCCAACAGCATACACCTTCACAAAAAGACAATAGACTCGTCACAGACCCATAAACCAATGATACAAACAATAGCAATAGTTCAAATAATACGAGTTCCCCACAATGAAGATTATTATTTGCTTATTTCTGAAGAGTAAGCTGGAGTAGTGTGTCCTAGCACAGAGACTATAAGAGCCTATTTGGTTGTGTTTTTGTTTTTTGTTTTTTTGTTTTTTTCATTTTTTGGAAAACAAGGGTCTTGGAAAGCGTTTCAGTCATTATCCAGGCTTCCCAAACCCCTCGTTCAAGGTCTGCATCCCCTCTTCAAGATCCCAATTGTAGTCTTTAATCCCCAAACATTTGCAAATGCACAAAGTTCAAATAATCGAATAAGATAGTGAAAAACTAGTTCTTGTACATGCACTAAATTTGTACAAGTCAATAACGGGTATTATGACTAAACTGGCTTCAGAGGGAATGTAAGTTAAAACTAAATTATCTAGCACCAGACTTTGGAAGGTTACACAAATCAAGTTGAAAATGAAACAAATGGAAAGACACAAATGTGTATTTTCAGAAATTTAATTAAGTTCGGAAAAAGAAAAACTTTGATCAGTAGGGAAGTCGGCCCATGCTGTTAACATTTTCAGAAAGTTTTTTGGTCTAATCTCATAAAAGAAAATAAAGGGAAAAAAGAAAACAAATATTTGTAAGTTTACATCTATGGTCAGTGAGAGCTAGCAGTAGGCAGCATTCCAATTTCCTAAACTACTGCAATAAGGAAACACAGAAAGGAGCTGATCTAACCAGAATAGAAGACGAGCTAGATAGTCCCGAGTTAATGAAATCAGAGGCTGGTATTGAAGTGAAGCATTCTCCACAAGATCAATGCAATCTTCTTCAATTCCAACATTTACAATCCCAGTTGAGGTGTTCTCTGATAGAGGTGCCTTGGAATGCATTTTTGGAGAAAGGGTTGCAAGTAGACCATGTATGACAGAGTGGATCACTTCCTTCAGCTCAGTGCATGTTGGCTCTGATAACTCAGCCACCTGTTCATAAAAAAGTACTTGTATCAGTAGCAAGACGGAATAACAGAGAATTGCAGGAGCTACAAGTAGAATGTAGTTGAGCATGATGTCAGCACACTAGCTTAGTCATCACTAAGGAAGATTTGATAAAGGAGATTGATGAAAAACATATAGGTGGAAAAAAGTTGAATTGAAATAGCAGAGGCAGACACGTTTGTGCCTAGAGGGTGAATAAGTCAATCTAAAACAAACCAATTAAAATTTACCAAGAGAATAATTTGAATTAATTCAGTTTGTCAATTAATCAGTCAATCATATCAAACACCATTCACAAAAAATCACAGTAATAATCTCTGCTATTAGAATCGTACGATTTCCGATTTGAATCGTACGATTCAATTCAATCGGTAATCGATTCAATCAGGTTGTGTGATTCGCAAATAACTATAAATCGTAGGTGAATCAGTGAACCGAATCAGTGAATCGTGAATCAATTCAATTCGCTAAAATCGATATTTGGATTTCTTTTTTGGTTTTTTATTGTTGGAAAAAGGTTCACACAACCTTTTTAAGGTCTCTAGGATTACTATATGCCATCTTTTGACTTTCTCCCTCCATATTTACTCTCAAATACTCAAACCTTAGTCGGAAAAAAAATGAACTTCCTCTCTACAATATTCTAGGTTTGCATATTCAATTTTATCTAAGTATTTGTAAAAAATAAATTGATAGAGATAGAATAAATTGTATGTATTATTGATTAATGATGTTGTGTTGAGCTCTCTCCTTTATAGAGGAGAGGGAGAACAATTACAACCGAAAGTAGAGGCACAAATATTAAAAGTACATTATTAAAGCATACTAATTATTATACTAACCTAATTATTAAAGCAGCACTTTACATATTATATTCTAACAGCCCCCCTCAAACTCAAGGAGGATAGGAACCAACCAACTTGAATTTGGAGAAAGTAACAAAATAAGAAAGTAAACTGATAAATAAAATTGGATAGGAGACACTGTATGGTCGTGTCAGACCGTTGTAGAAGACTGTATGGTTATGGCAGACCGATGTAGAAGACAGTTTATGGGGTCATGTCGGACCGTTGTAGCAGACAATGTTGTGACAGTTGTTGTGACAGTTTACGGAGTCTTGCTGGACCCTTGTAGAAACTAACCGGAATCAATGTCGGGACAGTTTACAGAGTCTTGTCGGACCCATGAAGGAGCTAACCGGAATCAATGTCGGGACAGTTTACAAAGTCTTGTCGGACCCATGAAGGAGCTAACCAGAATCAATGTCGGGACAGTTTACAGAGTCTTGTCGGACCCTGTAAAATACACTGTATGATGGTGTATATAGGCTGCCCAAATATATACATGTATATATATATCGAGCCCTCAAAAGGCGCGCCCTCAAAAGGCGTGCCCAATACCTCAAAAGACATGCCCGACACTTTGCGAGGCGCGCGACTACCTTGGCTTGCGCGCCCGTTTTGTCGTCTGGCGTCAAGTGGCGCGCGATGCGCGTATCGGCCCTGGCTATTTAAACCAAGGTTGAGGCGGAGGCTGTGCCAACCAGTCTGAAACCTCTGAACATTGGCATTCTGAAACACTCTGTAAACATTCTGTAACCAACCCTTCTCTGAAACACTCAGCAACCCATAACATGGCCTCTTCTTCCCGTCCAGCTACCCAGAACATGGCATCCTCTTCTCGTGGTCTGCTCACGCTCTTTCCAGAACTGAACGAGTCCACAAGAGAAATAACTAGGGCGGTGGCCAGTGAACCTCAACCAAACACCTCTGGTTTTGCTCCGTTGAACTTTCCGATGCGGTCTGTGGAGCAAAAAATGGCGGCGCAAACGGATATTGAGGCCAATCAGTATACTTTGAAGTCATGCGTGGAGAGCATGACTGCGGTCACAAACTTGTCGCACCGGCTTCAGAGTAGGACAAATGAGGTGCAGCAGTTAAACGCCCAACTGGCTCTGCTCCAGCAATTTAATTTATAATATAAGAAATTTACTGCTATAATTAAAGGTGAAGAGATTAAAATAAAATTTTAATAAAAATACAAGAGGTGTCAAGTGTAATTTGTCCTATATTCTCACACTATTCATTTGGTGGGTAATATTGTCAGCATAGATTGCTGTCATCCTCGTTCAAGTCTAGCTCTAATCGTTAGTGGAAGAAAACTTTTTATTGGATTGGTCAAGTGTTTATTTTTTTTTTTTTTTGGTTGGCTAGAACATGAAATTCATTCATACGTACGATCATACCAACCAAATAGATAAAATAGATTTTTTATTTTATTTTATTTTTTGGGCCTAGTCAAACAGGAACAAATATTTAGGGTGACTTTGGTATTCAATGAAAAAAAGTCTTATATATATATATATATATATATATATTTTTTTTTTTGTTTTGTTTTTTGAGTGGAGGATGTTGGTGGCGATGGTGTAATGTTCAAAAAGAAAAGATAAAAAATAAAATAATGGTTTGAAAAACCAGTGATGGTGTGTGAAAAAAATGAGAGAGAGAAAGTGGGGTACATGATGATGAGGATGATAATAATAAGAAAACGAATAAAAAAAAGGAAAAGGAAAGTTACCACCATGTATTTGCTCGAGATTGTTTTTTGTTTTTGTTTAAAAACAGTAGTTATTTATTTACTTTATTTTATTTTATTTTAAGGATTGTGTCTCTGAGAAGGACTTCTCCAGAAGCCAGTAGCATAAAACCTATCCCACATCTCCTTCTCCAACTTAAGCACATCCTTATCAATCTGCAACGATTTCACCTGCTGATCCACCGCCGGCGACATATCAACGGCGATGGGATGTATTTGCAGTTCCGTATCATCACACCCATTGCAGGAAGCGCGATACAATTGTCGGCGAGGTTGTCGCTCCCGCCTTGGTCGCGATCGATCAGGACGACAACGTCGGTGACCTTGATCACGGCGGCGCGGAGAGGAGCAGCGGTTTCGAGGACAGAGGTGCCGCTGGTGACGAGATCTTCAACAACGAGGCAAATCTGGCCGGGGGAGAAGGAGCCTTCGATGGCGTTTGGAAGTGTCGTAGTCTTGGATTTCTTTGCGGCGCATGAGCATGGGGATTTTGGAGGAGGTGGAGATGGATGTAGATTGGGGAGGAGATGCCGGATTTCAGTTTGAAGTTGCCGAACTTCACGGCGGAGATGTCGTGGAGTTGCAGAATCAGTGACTCCATTGTTGGTGATGATGTCATTTCTCTCTCTTTTTCTGTCTCTATAAAACTGTGAGTTGTGTGATAGGAGCTGCTGCTGTGTGTAAATGTAGCTGCCATGGCCATGAGGGAGAGGGATCATGTCTGATGCAGAGGATCAAAGCCGTTCAGATCGTGACGATCATGACGAGAGTTGCTATGATGTTGTTGGTATGGATCATTTCCTGTGAGCCTCTTGCTGGAGTTGATGGAGGTTTCAATTGGTTGAGATCCGGCGGGCGGTCAAGGCAAGGTTGCCGCCCGCCGGAAGGCGGAGAACACCGAGAACACCAAGATCTTTAACCTTGCTCTGATACCATGTAAAAAATAAATTGATAGAGATAGAATAAATTGTATGTATTATTGATTAATGATGTTGTGTTGAGCTCTCTCCTTTATAGAGGAGAGGGAGAACAATTACAACCGAAAGTAGAGGCACAAATATTAAAGGTACATTATTAAAGCATACTAATTATTATACTAACCTAATTATTAAAGCAGCACTTTACATATTATATTCTAACAGTATTTGTATTTATAAAATGAATTTTTTGAAGACATAAAGCGAGATTTTTGAAAAAGTTTAAAGATTTTGATTTTTTAACCTTGTAAAAAGTTAAAAGCATTGTTGTTGAGTTATTATTACGTAGAAATTGAAAATTTATCTTTATTTGCTTTCTTTATTAAGAACGATTAATAAGAAATAGTATCTAAAAGGGAAAAGGTGAAGTGGTAAACGTGAGAACTAGTGTTAACTTCTTACCCATGCCACATAATCATCATTTAAAATAATATTTTTATTGATTTAAGTCTAAATATTTTATATTTATTAGATATATTTAATATCTAAGTGTTTAGATATTATTTTGGGTAAACTACCAATAAGTCCTAATAGTTGGACTTAATTCCCATCAATTCCTATTGAAAATAAGTCTTAGTAAAATTGTCGCTAAAAATAATTTTTTGTGACAATTTTTTATATATGTCGCTAAAAATTAACAATTAGTGACTTTTTTTGTCATGATTTTTATAAATTGTAGTTAAAACTTACAATTAGTGACTTTTTTATGACAAATTTTTCCCATAGAACCTATTAGACAATAAGTCCACTTATTAGGACCTACACGTGAATACCCCATATATTTTCTATGTAATTAAAAAAATGTGACCAAATCTTTACAATTCACAATTCGATTCAATTCGCGATTCAGTACAATACCATTTCGATTCATGATTCGAATCTCAATTTGACAACTATGATAATAATAAAAGTAAGATAATAATAAACACAGCCATATGCATTGAAAACCCTTGGAACAACAATCGACATCAGAAAAAAGCCACAGGCACCCTTGCTGGTCAAAAATCCATTAGAACAATTGATAACACACAGATTCCAATAGACCATTTACAACCCAACCTTGAATAAGTTAGCTTTGACGCCCCATCAAGCAAGTGATTCTAACACAGCAGTTAGTCTCCTCTTATCTAGGTCTCCACTCCTCGGGAATTCAATTAACCAATGCCCATTGATTGATCAAAATGCAGTAAAAGGGTAGGTTGTTTTACAGAACAATGAGAAGAGTTTTCTCAAATCATTTCCCAATGCATAAGCAAATCATATCTTCTACTAGAATACGAGAGAAATAGGTTTCATAGGGTGTCTGGGGCATTAAAGATTGAATTTGTGTCTTTGTTCGTATTAGACTAAAAAAATAAAGGCCCTATTTATAGTTTTTCCATATTAGGTTGTATGGGGATTCAGAAATCCGCTTGCCCGCTTGAGCTCACTTTGAGCAGGCTTCAAGCGAGGGCTTGCAAAACCTCTACATAGCTGAATCGCCGCTACCCTGCTTGAGCATGCTAGTCTCACTTGACTCCCACATAACACGTTAAATATTCAATGGCTAAATAAACTAATGGAATATCCTCATGCGATTTTACATGAGATTGGATTGGAACACACATTTTCTTGTCTCTGAATCATCAACAATTTTAATCACATAGACACTCAGGCTAGGAAGCATGGGCATTTCAAAGAAGGTGGTGTGTCCGCATCGGACACTTCCGACACGTGCCAGGCACTCGTCCAAACATGTCCTATTATTTTTTTATACCCAGACACTTGGGGGACACATATATCCATCATTTGGGGACACATGAAATTAATTATAAGTTTGAACATAATAACCTAGGGTGTAAAGATAAAAGAAAAATAATGTAGATTTACAAGGTTGGGTTTATTTAGAAACAACAGTAACTGTCAATTGCTTTTCTGGATTCTAGACAGAAGTACTGGGAACTAATTCCAAACCAATACTCTTGATAAAAATATATTTGCAGTAAATTGCTGCAAAGATTGAACAAGTCATGACAAACATTTGCAGTGAACAATCGTTTAGACGTGACACAAAACCATCAAACAAAAAAAATTCCCAGCTAAGAAGGATACTTACAGAAACTAACAAAGGCTTATCCTCAGCATTGTAGACGAGAAGCCAGTGGAGTTGAAGAAACAACACGGAATTTTTTTACTTTTTATTTTAAATGAACAGCTGTATTAAATTTCTGTTTCTTTCTCCTATTTCCTCTTATTTCCAATTAAAAAATGAATCGGGGGATTTAGAAAAGCATGAATCAATCACATTCCATATAACAATGACTGATATGACATCCTCAATAGACTTCCCAATATACACAAATCACTTTGTAACAGAATAGGACTACCAACAAAATCTAGAGTCACCAAGCTTAATAAGAAAACAGCAAAGCACATAGCAATAAAAGTTTAGAAAACCAAAAAAAAAAAAAAAAACAAGGGAAACTTGTTTTGCAAAATATTTTTACCAACACAAACCAGCTGGAGTGTTCTATAGATGTATGGCTAACCTTCTCCGGTTGAAGCGATCTCAAGTAATCCAGCAAATCATTCTTTTCCTCTCCAACAAACTGTTGCATTTGAAGAGCTGCAGTTTTCCTCTTGACTTCATGCAGCTCCTGAATATATAGAACAAAAAACAAATAAAAGTGCCAGATGTCTTCTAAGACTGGCCTATTGCAGGGAGAAAAGGGAAATAGTGAAAGCCAATTATGCTGTCAGATCCATTGAAACCACAACAGTTGAATTACTCAAGAATATAAAGGTCATGAGGTTTTTGTTATCAACTAAATGAGAAAAAAGATTCCAAATGAAACATGCTAAAGGCCTAAATCAAAGGACAATCTCTAATCTATGATTTAGCAAGTACAAATGAATATGCAAAATAAAAATAACAAAAATATATTTCAAAAAGATGGCAGAAAGCATTTCAATTCTGATCTTCCTATCTTGGCATCCAAATCAGGCAAAGGGTATAAAGAGTATGCACATTTTTTATGAAGTAAACATTTCTTTAGTTTTAGGCCTTTTTTTTTCTTTTCTTTTTTTTCTTTTTAATTTGGCTATGTCAATAATGTAATGAACCCATGTACGAGGGTTGTATTAGATGGAAATTTATAGTTCACCTTTTTTACAGAAGACAAACGAGAATGCAAATTTAAAATGTATTGTTGAGCTTCAGGAGTGATTTTCCCAAGGCCTTCAACACCAATACTCTCAGATGCCTTATCACTTATTTTTTCTGATTTGGGCATCTCATCTTTTCTAGCCAAGTTGACCCTTCTCTCATAGTCAAGCAACATCCTTGGTGCTTCAAATTTGGAATCTTCTGTTTTTATTATTTCAATACTTCCTTCATCTATATCAAGGTTCCTTTCAAGGCAAAGTCTATATTCAGCATTCCGTAATGTATACCTGCAGTGCAAGAAGAATAGCACTCAAAAATCTAGTATCTTCATAGACATACATCACTAAAGAAATGAAATTTAAACACCTAATCAATTTATTCTAATGTAAACTTGCTTCAGCTCAGACAAGAAAATGTTGAATATGGGATTTTTAAGATGATATGCATACAAAACTTAGAATCCTACAACTACCATCCATATATACAAATTAACTGCAAGATCTCAAGCCCCCTTCCATCATCTACATCCTATTGGAAACAAAACAGAGTATAAAGGCATGAAATACAGTCATAAATAAACATACCCAGTCATCATTGAAGAAACCAATAACTTGGAGAGAGGTTCCCATACAGCTTCAATTAAAACTTGAAACTGGTTAGAGGGAAGTAAACCCAACATGCCAGAAATAGTCCTCTTCATAGCATCCACAGTAGTGAGTGGAACATCTTTCTGAATAAGGCTCACATCCATAGGCTCTATCTCTTGTACCAGATTCAAGAGAACTGATTTCTGAAACAACAAACAGTCTTAATTGTAAAAGAACATTACAAAGGTTAACATGAAGTCATTTACTTATTTCACTTTGCCACTACTAGGATTTATTAATAGTAACTGACAATTCTAATACATCAACCAGTTTTTTCAAGAAGCATGGGTGGTGGCAGGAAGAAATTCCTGTACAAGCTGGCAAAGATTTTGGAATGAAAAAGTGAAACCAAAATATATATCTACCTCTCCCTTCATTCACACAATTGCTTTTAGTAATGTCATGGGATTTTGGTGTAAATATGGGTATCTCACCCCTTAATGCTAGCTTTTGTGAGCTGCCAGTTTGCACTACTGTTAAATTGCATTTAAACAGTTTTTAACTCAATACAAAACTTTGTTATGAAAAATTAATTCGATCATTCTCCCAGTCTCATATTTGGTCAATTGATCATAACCTCATTACAAATTTCATAAATAAGTACAATTTGCAATGAAGATAAATCCTCAAGGCCTCTATGCTATCTAGGATCAATCAACCATCCATAAGGGTGTGTCAAAAAACAGTTGCTACAAAAATTTATAGCATGATGGAAGAAATGGAGAGTGCTTTTAGAGTGTTATGCAATCACATAATGTGGGAAAGTACACATAAAAGGTGTGTTGTCAAAATGAGGACAATTAGATGGATGACTAACAATACAAGAAAGGACAGAGTTGATGTAGTATTGACTATTGAGTGGAATCGAGCTAATGGACAGTCATTTTAGAAAATTTAGTTGAGTGCAACGGAGAGCAAAGAATACAATAATGAGCACAATACTATAATTCATGTCAAAATTGTTACAAGGGGAAGATGAAGGCCAAAGAAGAGAGTGAGTAGGCTTTAAAAACACATGAATATAACCTCAGCATCCAAGCAGCAGAGGATTAGCATAGGATACCAGTCAATGAGATGTAAGGCGATGTTGGGTGCGGTTGCATCAAATCATTAATTTATCAAGGAGCCATTTTTTAACTTCAGAACTGATTTTCTCAAACAACTCCCTTCTTGAAAAATTTACTTGCGTAGTTGTAAATCACCAACAACAAACACTCTATCCCCCCAAAGTATAGTTATGATAATAATTAAACATTATTTCGATTTTGAATTCGTACTCAATTCACTAACCCTCCATTTATTTTATTTTTACTTTTCTGGCCTGGCATTGACCCTCCATTAAGTCACTAAAAATCAGAGAAAGACATACAATTTTGAAATTTATGTTTTAGTTGCTGTCTGGGTTTCCTCATCTTGTCAAAAGCAATTAGTTGAATTCACACAATTAGTTAGATTCTTGTTTTCTAAGGTACCGCAACAACAATACATTTATGATTGAAAAATAATAATAATAAAATAGATTGAGATTTTGTAAGTACTTAATTATACACCATTTGGTTGACAATGAGATAATTTACACTTTCCAAAGCACTACAATTGCAGGGGGGGGAAAAAGCTACCAAATTCAATGAATTCAATAAAGAATTAAGAGTAACAGTGAGAAATTCAAGAACAAAAGCTAACCTTTGAGCGTGGAATTTCAGTTTTGGAGTAGAGATCATCGAAAGAAGATGCTGAACAAGCACGAACTACGGTTCTTAGGGTTCGAATTTTTCTAGGGTTTTTAGAAGGTTGGAGGGGAGAGAAAGCAAGGGAGGGTAAGGAAGAAGAACGACGAATGCGTGAAGAGGGGAGAGGAAGAGGAGAGAACGAGAGGATGGAGGAGAGGGTTGCCATTAACGACCACCACTCACCTTTCTCCTCCTTCTCTCTCCTCTCTCTCTCTCTCTCTGTCTCTCTCTCAACCGAACAACAAAGTCAAACGTTAGGGCGTGTTTGGCTCTTGCTTTTGTCTCGTGATTTATTTTATGTTTTGATATTTTTATAGGTAAATTACACTCGCACCTCATAAAATTTAGATTTAATACATATCACCCTTGATATTTGAAAAATTACACAAATTCTCTATTATTGTAATTATTTAAATTGAATGAAAATATTAAATTCGTGCACTCTCTTTTCTTACTTTGCTTTACTTTAGTTCCTTTTCTTTTTTCTTTTTTTTTCTCCTTTCTTTTGCTTTACTTTTTTTTTTTTCTATTTTTCTATTAAGAGTTATTACCTTTTATAAAAGTATGGGTTTATAAAATGAGAAGATTAACCACAGGGCGGGAATGCCATTTCCAGAACGTTAGTAAGTAGGATATAATTGGACCAAACATCAAGGGGTGTTAGTGTAATTTATCCTACTTTTATTTTGGATAAACTATCAATGGGTCCTAATAATTGGATTTAATTTCTATCAAATCCTATTAAAAATAAGTCATAGTAAAATCGTCGATAAAATTAATTTTTTTGCCAATTTTTTACATATATCACTAAAAATTGACAATTAGTAATTTTTTTTGCCACGATTTTTGAAATTGTCGCTACAACTTGCCATTAGCGACCTTTTTATATACGAATTTTCCAAACTATCGCTAAAAGTTAAAATGATATTTTTGTGATGATTTTTTTAAACTGTCGCTAAAACTTATAATTAGTGACATTTTTGTGAGAAAATTTTTAAATTTTGATTAAAAATTAATAATTAATGACTTTTTTAATAGTATTTGATGAAATACATCATTAATTATCATAAAATATATTGGACAATAAATCTACCTATTACGTAAGTCTCTCGTTTACTTTTTAACAAAGCCTTTGTTTGGCATATGAGTTTTTTGGGATTTTTTTAGTCATAAAAATATAAAATAGGTTAAAAAGTTAATAAGATAAAATGTCACATCTAAATCCTAACCATTTAATTTTTTCTCACAAAAGTCAAAAAAATAAAAAATAAAAACATATATAAAACGAGGTTTTTTAGCCTCACAATAAAGGGTGTTTTAGGAAGATGATTAACAGTTATTTTTTGATTTTTTTTTTTACTTTTTTGTGAGACACTTCTCAAAATAGCTAAAAAAATAAAAAAAGTCAACCCATATATCAAATGAAGCCAAAATATGTTCGGCACATAATTTATTTATTTATTTTTCCCCGGTAAAACTAAAAATAAGAAGGAAAAAAAATTATTTGTTACCAAAAATGAAAGGTGGTTATTTGTAAACAGAAGGCCATTTATACTTCAAACTCTATTGGAAAAAAAAAATACTTTTATTTTTAAAAAACAAAAAAACATTAAATATATTATGCAACCAAACAAATACTTAACTATTAGTTTATGCGTTTTTATTTTTTTACAATTGATAGAAGAAAAATATGAAAAAATAAAATTACATGTAATATTCGAATCTAAACATTACACTTTACAATAAAATACTTTTTTTTTTTATTAAAAGAACTTTCAATGTTAAATATGGAATTACGTTAAAGGGGAAATTATAAGAACGAAAAGTATTGAGGACTATGGGTGAGCATGGTTCGGATTGGATCGGATTGGGGTAAAATCAGGATTAATCCGTTATTTACAATTTCTGAAAAATTGAAACCAATCCAATCCGTTTAAATCATGGAACCAATCCGAACCAATCCATTTAAATACGGATTGGATCGGTTTAGGACCACGAATTCACATAATTAAATAACAAAAAAATATATATATAACACTTTAATTTCATAAAAATATAAATATAGCGTTATATTAGTTCCACAATAGCAATATGTTATCTATAATAGCGACATACTGTTCTAGAATTTAAACAACCATAAGAAAACTGGTTTCACCATAAGTATTTAGATCATTACAAGTTAAAACTAAAAACTAACAAACAAAAGTAATAAAAGAAGATATTATACGGTTTTAAGTTTGTGTTTAGATTTTATATAGAATAAAAGAAGATACTATGGGAAGAATGTATAATAAAAATATAGATTATTTGTATACGGTCCGGATCGGTTCTAATCCGGAACCGTGGGGTTCAATCTAGAACCAATCCGTGGATTACAGATTTTTAATTCTTCAATCCAGAACCAAACCGCAGATTCAAAAAATCAATCCAAACCTATCGAATTGGACTGAACTGGATCGGATTACGAATTTCACGGATTCCTTCTTCAACCCTATTGAGAACCCCCTTTTAACTCAAGTGTTACCAGAAAACATGGAGTATAAATCATATATATTCTATATATTATACATGTGATACTATGTTTAAATTTAATTTAACATTTTACTTCTTACCTCTTGTAAAAATTAAGGCTAACTTTAGTTTAGTTTTCAAAATATGTTTTGTGAATCTTTTTAAAAAAAATTAAAAACTAATTTAATGATAAATAATAATAAATAAAATATACTCGTCATCTTTATATAGTGTACGGGGAGCAAATATTCCGGCAAGCCCGTACTCCTTTCTTCCAAACTCCGTTTCTGTCCGATCACCTGCGAGCACAATAGCGGTGAGCTACCCGGCGGTGTGTGGCCGGAAAACCCCTCCGACGATCAAGTTAGAACACACACAGGGGATAGATAGAGAGAAGGGAGAGTGTTTAGTGTTTAGTGTATGTCTCACCAAATGTTCATCTGTCCGCGTATGGGGGGCGCAGACGTGTTTATATACCTTCTGCGCCCCAAATCTACTCCCAGTGTCCTCTCAACACGTGGCACTACTATCCCATCTGTCAGCATAAACCTTGCTGAGCACCACCTAACCCAACTGCCTGCCCATTCTCCTAGGAGCTCGGCAGCCGGGCAGTACCATCTCGGCCATCGTCTGCCATGCTGCGCTTCAAGCCCAAGTACTCCAACAGCTAAGCTCAGATGAGGACCGGACTCGGCGGCATCTCGGCAAAGCCGAGCTCGGGACAACTCACGCTTGTCTGCGGTCGACCTTCCTGCCGAGCAAAAAGGTACCTCGGTCCAACCTTGCCTTTCCTAGCGCTGGACCTTTCACCTGACCGGCTTCGTAACCGCGGATCCTTGCAGCTCGGTCAATCCACGCGCTGCCTTAACCGAGCAGCTTCCTTCAAGGCTGGGCCACACAACTTGGCCCAACACCTGTTCGGCCCAAATCTGTCTGGCACAACTCTGTCCGGCCCAACTCTGTCCGGCCCAAATCTGTCCGGCACAACTCTGTCCGGCCCAAATCTGTCCGGCACAACTCTGTCCGGCCCAAATCTGTCCGGCACAACTCTGTCCGGCCCAAATCTGTCCGGCACAACTCTGTCCGGCCCAAATCTGTCCGGCACAACTCTGTCCGGCCCAAATCTGTCCGGCACAACTCTGCCCGGCCCAAATCTGTCCGGCACAACTCTGCCCGGCCCAAATCTGTCCGGCACAACTCTGCCCGGCCCAAATCTGTCCGGCACAACTCTGCCCGGCCCAAATCTGTCCGGCACAACTCTGCCCGGCCCAAATCTGTCCGGCACAACTCTGCCCGGCCCAAATCTGTCCGGCACAACTCTGCCCGGCCCAAATCTGTCCGGCACAACTCTGCCCGGCCCAAATCTGTCCGGCACAACTCACTACTTCTAATAAAAATTTTAAAAAAAATTAAAACTAGTTTGATAAAAATAAAAATGAAAAACATTCACCATTTTTATTTTTTTGAAAAACGGAAATAATTTTTGAAAAAATTTATATTTAAATTTTTTTTTTCAAATTATATTTTATTGAAAAAAATTATAAAAGTCTGAGTAGCAGAAGAAATTGTTTTGATACTCCAACAACCAACATTAAACTTTTAAAACATAAAACACATAAAAAAAATAATAAAAAGACAGCGATGAAGCCTCACACAGCATCAACATGATTCACGGGGTTTCATCTCCAAAATGTAACAAATTAGCAAATCATCATTGAACAAAACAAACTTGATTAGTTAATAACACTGAAATGTTACATCATTTTTACATGTTAATTGATGAACCTTACAAAACCTTTCTAGACCCCAAAAACAAAAAACAAAAACTAAAAATGTTATTAACTTGGAAGTTGAACAATTAATCTCATGACTAACGACGTCGTTCTGGAGTCCAACGAGGAAAGGATTTGCTAAAATGCGCCGATACCACTCTGGAATCTAGAAGCTCCATGATCGGAGTAAAGCTAACACACCTCGGCACCTTATACTGATTAATAGAGGCGCCTCTCGAGATCGAATAATCCATGAGCTCCTCAAACGTGCCACTCTTCACCACACGAATCTCCAGAGGCCCAATTGAGTTATCCGCGACTCGGCCTTGTCGATACACCGAGTTAAGCGATTCCTCCATCGCTAAACAGCACCGACTCATCACCTCGTCACTCAGTGACTCACCCGAGTAGTCCTTCAATAACAGTTCCCAATAAATGACGTAGTGACCCGGAATCGTCCTCGTGTCCGCGTAACTCGTGTACTCCACCACGCTCGCGTTGAACTCGCTCAAGACGAGTTGCGAAGCGTTCTCGACCGCTCTCTGTAACTCGGACTCGTCTGTCTTGTCCGAGTCAATACTGAGTAACACGTTCTTTCTCCGAACAAAGTGGAATTGTGGAGCTGAGTTGTGGAACCCGGTGACTAGGAGGATGTCGCCGACTCGGTACCGGTACAACCCGGCGTAAGTAGTGATCACGAGCTCGTACTCTTTTCCGACTTCCACGTTGGCGAGGTCGACGAGTTCGGGTCGAGTTGGCCCGATGGAGTTGGGCTCGTGGGGCAGGAATTCGAAGTATGCCATGTTTGGCATGATGGTGTAAGAGACTTCGGAGGGTTTACACATCGGGTTGAGATTGAGTCCGAAATAACACTCCGACGAAGCGTACATGGTGCAGGCTAGGGGCAACCCGCCACTGTAATGGTTCAGGGTCGGAATATATTGGGCCATTGCCCCGGTTACTATCACATCCAAGTACTTTGTGTTGGGCCAAATTCTAGTGATAATCCCTTCCCAATTGTCCTTTGAACACTCTGCTGCAATGAAATCTGCGAGATTCGGGTCGGGATTTAATATCCGGGTCATGCAGGCTTGGATTGATGGGTTGGTGATTTTCGGATTTAGTGTTCCGGTTCGGATATCGTGGGTGAGTTGTGCCCAATTGAGTTGGAGGAACCGGATGGCTCGGAGGAGGCCGGAGGCGAACACCGCTCCGACCCGGAGGACTTGTTTGTGCTCTATGAGGCCGCATAGCATCTGGGTGTACATGCTGTGGAACGAGTCGGGGCAGAGGATCGCTTCATTGGGGCTCGTGTAGACATTGTATGGGTCGTAGGGTCGGGTTTTGAAGTGGTCACTTTTGTAGTAACTTGTAAGAACTGGCCGGGCCAAAAGCCCACCCGGTGTCTTTGTTTCGGACTTCACAAACAAGAAATAAAGCCCCTTGCCCTTGTCCATACCGGGAACATATCTGTTACAGTCAGCAAAAAAGAAATTTAGTGAAAAAACTCATTAAAATGTTATTTGTTGCAGCTTTAATAAATTGTTTATTTTGAATTCTTTTGTTTTAAAATTATATGTCAGAATGTATGTTATTTCAATGAACAGTAGTGATTGAGAGCTCGAATTCCTCTGTCCCGAATGCCCCTAAACCACGAAACGACGTCGTTTCGTGGTTTTAATTTTTTTTTTTTTTCTTTTCAGCAGAAGAAGGGAGACGAAGACGGAGGAGGAGGAGGGGGAAGGAAGACGAAGACGGAGGAGGAGGAGGGGGAAGGAAGACGAAGACGGAGGAGGAGGAGGGGGAAGGAAGACGAAGACGGAGGAGGAGGAGGGGGAAGGAAGACGAAGACGGAGGAGGAGGAGGGGGAAGGAAGACGAAGACGGAGGAGGAGGAGGGGGAAGGAAGACGAAGACGGAGGAGGAGGAGGGGGAAGGAAGACGAAGACGGAGGAGGAGGAGGGGGAAGGAAGACGAAGACGGAGGAGGAGGAGGGGGAAGGAAGACGAAGACGGACTCTCCCTCTCCCTCTCTCTCTTCCTCCGCTTCGACCTTCCTCTGCGTCGAAAATGGCAGAAAAAAAGAAAAAAAAAAAAATTCGAGCCACATTCGAGCCAGGCATTTCGGGGCCTCAAACATTTTCCTTCAATGAATTACTTATTTATTGAGAAAAGGTTTGGGTGTGGTATTTTAAAAATTGATGTATAAATTATTAAATAATGTTGTGTAGACAAAAATAAAATATAAAAATTTTAGAACAAATTTAAGAAGTGATTATGATTTTTAAAAGAATATATGCCACCAATAAATATTTTAATATATATTTTGTGTTTAATTATATATTTATTTATGTGTTCAAGATCATGTAACGAAGACTTCACTCAAACCTTGGTTGGTAACATTTAATTTTAGTTAAAAAATCACTATAAATTATTACATCACATTTTTTATTTTTCTATATATCTTTTCATAAAAAGTTAAAAAATTATTAAAATAATTTATTTCCAAACGAAACCTCAAAATAAATTCAAATTACATGTTTTGTGTATATATATGTTTTTGTTTTGTTTTTGTAGGAGTAACATTACTTGTTTTATAGATATATATACTTACAGGTTCATGACAGGCATGAGAAGACTGTATAGCAATTGACGACGGTCCAGCTCTTCCTGAATCGTGGGCATCAATTTCCTTTCACCAGCTGAAGTCCCAGAGCTGTACAATTTTCAAAATCACAAGTTAATAACTCCTAGTCAACTCATTTACCATTTTTTTTATTATATAAATTTAAAATCAAAATACCTAGTGAGAAATTCGGAGATGGGATGAGCAGACAAGATCTTAGAACGATCACCATTCGCAATGCGCTGAATCTCAGGCTGAAGATCTTCGTAAGTAATCACCGGAATTTCGGATTTGAACGTGTTTCGATCGGTTGCTCCGGAGAGATTGAATCGTTGGAGGTACTCAGTTTCGGCGTTCCGACTCAGTATCTCGGCCAAAACCTTCTCTTGAATTTGGTCCGCATTTCGAGTCATCTCTTCGATGAGTCGAAGCGCCTTCGCGTCCTTCTCACACGCCGGAGGTCCTAGCGGAGACGATAGTGCAGAATCAACAGCCATTGTAGAGAGAGAGAAAATGAGACTGTAATTGTGAATGTGAAGAAGATGATGGTGGTGAGGTGGAGTGTGGAGAGCTGAAGGGTGCATTGACTTTATATAGAAGAGGAGGGAAGTGCATGAAGTGAGATGTCAATAGACGTGTGATGGTAAGGTACAAAAAAAGGGTCTAAGCTGACGAGTGGAGGACAATTTTGTAATATTATCCTACAAAAATGTGTTGGGCGAGGAGGGGGGGACAATGTGGGCCCATGGCACGCTGTCATTTGCGAAATGGGGAAGACATGTGGGGCCTTACCGACACGTCAGCAGGTAGAGACTGTTCTTTTTAAAAATTCACTTGCAAAAAGATTCTAAAAAAAATATAATTAAATATCCTAGATAATATTTATATGTGTAAAATATTGATCCACCTATCATCACTCAAAAAATTAGAGTTTAATTTTTCCCACATACCTCGAAATGTGTAAGCAAAGACACATTTTTTAATTGGTGGAGAGTGGTGATATTCACAGGATCAATATATTTTTTTTGGAAAAGTTATCTCTACTTCATAAAGACATGTGAGGCTCATCATGAGTCTTATTTTGATAATTCAAATCGTTCAATATGTAAACTTCTTCGAGTACTTTATTCTTGTAAAAAAATATGTTGATCGAATATCGATAGCTACTTGATTGGATCAGATTTTTGTTAGCAATTTATTTTAAAAATTAAATTTACCGTTGAGAGAAATCTAATCCGATCAAATAGCTATCGATATTTAATCAACGTGATTTTTTTTCAAGAATAAAGTATTCGACGAGGTCTACATATGTGACGATTCGGATCATCAAAAAATGACCCATGGTGGCCCCCTTTGATCCAACACCACACTCCAGTCCAATCTCGAATTAGAAAGAAGCCTGACTCTTTTTTTGGTAAGAATAACTCACATTCTCTACAAATTATAAAATGTGTTTTATTCACATACTTTTGTGTGTGAATAAATTTGTTTTCAAAAAATTAAGTACAACTCAACGTTGTTAATAATTTTTAGAAGAGTTACGGATCAATCCTGTTGAGTAGATTTATTTATTTATAAGTATTATTTTTTTCACTTATTAATATTTTTAAAAATTATTAGAACAAAATAAATATTTTAAGACTTTTTCAAGGCATTAAAAAAACATGGAGAACGAATTTTTTAGTCCACATAGAAATGATCATAATTTATACTAATTTTTATGGTTTACTGGTCTGTAGTTTGACTGTAATACGCGTCATGGCTCTTTCTAGGTAACATTGTCCTTCACGATGGAGAAACCGGGCAACTAGGCAGCACGTGAGACATATGCCAAAATGATTCTCTATTTATTGAAAAATATTATATAAATTAATAAATTATATATATTTGAAATTATATAAATTGTTTTGATAAGATTTTAAAGAATTTATTTTAAAGTTATATTATTGCATATTACACTAGTAAAGAATTTTTTTCATAAATTTAATTAATTTTCGTAGTAATTATTACTCTTTTAGGAAAATATTTGAGATTGTTAAAAGAAATTTTCATTATTTGACCCACAATGATGTCGTATGATAGGAGTCCACTTTTTAGTTGTTACACATTGATGTGTGGATAAACTTGTGAACAAAAAATTATGAGTATGTAGCACTTATATTTCTTTAAAGCAATGTTGCGATCGACACTCTAACTCTGTTAACTCTCTAGAATTTTTTCTCTAAAATACTTTAGAAGTTTTCACATAAATTTAGAATATTTCGAAAAAATCTAGAGTACCCTGAAAAGACCTAGAGAAATCTGGAAGAGTCTAGAACATCTTAGAAGAATCCGAAACATTGGAGAAGATTCGGGAAACTAGATAAATCTAGAAGATTCTGGAAAGTTATAGAATATTTTAAAGAAGTATAAAAAACTCTAATATATCCTGAAATAGTTTAGATAGTTTTAGAGTATAATAAAAGTATAAGTATATCATAGAATATTTTAGAAATAAATTTATCACCACTCATTTTGTGGATGAGGTTTGTTTTTTGAAACTTCTTCATTAGTATAAATATGAGATTAGCTCATGCAATTAAATCATCAAACACGACAAAGGTGATCTAAGTTAAGGTATCTCAAGGTCATGTGTGAGGAAACACAAAAGTGAAAAACAAAGTGAAAATTTGAGTACTTAAGGCCTCTTTTATGTTCAATCAATCATTTAGATGTGAGCAATAAACTATCATAGGTAGCAGCCATATTGTGCAATTGCTAATAGACAACATGAATACTTATAGAAGGAAAATGAAGATAGAAATAAATGCCTTTTTCTCCGTACACAAATGGCTTAGTGTAGGGTATACTTACGGCTCCTTTAGGAATAAGTTATTTTAATAATTTTTTAATTTTTTTGATTAAAATATGAAATAAAAAAAATTAATATATTTAAAATAATTTTTAAATTTTTTACGAAAAGATGTATAAAAAGTAAAAAAAAAAAGAATCTTTAACTTTTTATATAGGTTATAGGCTTTTTGATAATTTTAATAATTTTTTAACTTTTAAACTAAAACAAACACTTGTCAAACGAGTCTTTGGTGTAGTTGTAAACATAAATTTCAGAACATAAACTTTACACTTTGGATCATTTACCATATGTATTATCAAGAAATCAAGACAAAATGACATACCTGAATCCATTGATGAACGGTTAAACGGAAGCGTGATTATCAATGAACTCTTTGTTATTGATTATGTTATTGCCTTCTAATCCTTTCCCCTTTGGTGCCTTATGTTTCTCCTTGAGAGGATTTAGAAAGAAAAATGGCAGTGTTCTTATTTTTCCACTTGGGAAGGAATAGGGACCATAACCTTTTAAAGGTTGTAATTGGTTTTCAAAACTGAAAGGTTGTGGAAGTTCAAAAGGAATGAAAACCAACTTTAACCAATATGTTTTAATTTCTATTTCTGCCCCTCATAGAAATAGAAATTATACAACTAGTATCTACACATTAGGTCCATAACACATATACCCTTAAACCTATTAACTAAATTGAATCACTTAAATTGTAAGCTTCTTATAAATGATAACACCACATTTAATTATGTGGTCCCATTGAGACATTATCTAACAAAGGTAACTTTCTTTGCAAAATCAAAGCCCTAGCTTGAAGAGAGAGCGAGAGAGAAACACCACAGAACTTTAAGCAAAACCAAAAATCTGAGTCGGTCACCGGGATGAAGTAAAAATGATGAAATGAAAAAGAAGTTGAAAAGCAAAAGAAGGAAAAAAAAAAAAAAAAAAAAAAAAGACCAAA